CATCAGACTAAGCACACTACTCATCCACACACACTCAGCACACTACTCATAGATGCACACTCACACAGCGTCCATCAATGTACACCCATTGCAGTATGACTGACCACTATATTCATAGATGACCGAGCACTCAGTGTAGCACTTACAGTTGCAAGACCCTTTGATATAGTATTGTGAGCCTTCATGCTGGGTGCTGTGGCTGTAGATGAATCTTGCCCCAGCCTCAATGTGGACACGTATGATGGGGTTTCAGTCACACTGTACACCAGGCTCTTCTATGATGGACATTTATAACATATTCTAAAATCACAGCATGATCCATCCTGGCTTGAGAAGCACTCATCCTACCTGGGGCTCTGGAAGCCTCACTCGGACAGACTTTGGGAACAAAGAGGAGCCTCTTCCTGGCTGGTGACTCCCAGACTACCCAGAGTGACCAGATGAGCTTCAGACAGATTCTTAGGGCATGGGCTCCTCAAGTGTGGGGAGGAATAGTTATGGCTTTTTAGCTGGAGCCCAGTGTCTCCTGGGCCCAATTACCCCCTTGCAGCTGATGAAGCTGCCCATATTGGTAATGAGCTGGATCAGGACCTCTGGGGCAGGCTGCCCCTGCTACTGCCTATGCCTGTCAACCTGTGGAGCATCTTGGCTTCATTAGTTACCTCTGCATCTCTTTCCTGGCTGGCTGCTACACTCCCTACTGGAGAAGCACTGTAACGAGGGTCCCTGTTTCACCTGTGGCCCTGGGCTCAACAATTATGCAAGTGCTGTTGCTGAGAGTCAGGCTGGTCCTCAACAGGAACCCAGGCCTGTGTGCAGGAGCAAGACTGGAAAAGAAGGAGGATGGGTAAACATAGAGGTGGGTCTGTTGAGCCCTCAGGAATCATAACGCATCATAGGTAGTGGATATCACAGGAGATTGTGACTCATGCCAAGAGCCCCAGGACCTCACTTTTAGGGAAGGATCTGATGGATCCACCAGGCTTTCTGTTCTCAGGACTCGTTTCCCCACATCTCAGTTCTCCTGACCGCTTTCCTCAGCTCATGTATCTTAAAACTCCCTGGAGGGTTTTGGACCACCTATTCCCTATGGATTGTTCTCCTCACATTTTCTTCCTTCTTTCCCACACTTCCTTTAGTCTCCATGGTCTTCTGCATTAGGAGTCTCTTTCTTCCTCCCCCATCTCTGGTGGCTTATGGACCCTGGGACTTTGGAAGCCTTGTTTCTCCTTATGTTCGTTTCTTCCACTTTGTGTGTCAAATCTGCTCATATACGTATTGTAAGGATCCTCAACATTGGATGTGAAGACAACCAGATAATCCACAGCCTTTGTCCAAATGAGGTACAATTCACAGATTTCAGATCTAGGACAAAGACAAAGACGTGTATTTGATGATTTCCAGCAAATTATAGTGACTATGCACTGCTTATATTTTACATGCCCCAAACCATGATTGTCAACCTGGTGGGATCTGAGATCAAGGATCACATCTCTGGGCTGCTTTCTGAAGGCATCTAGAGATAGGATTATCTAAATAGGGAGTTTCTTCCTCAGAGTAGGTGACAGCTTTTAAAGAGATGCCTAAGATGGAAAGAGGTGGAGGGAAAAGCAAGGTCAGTCTCACTTCTTGTGTTTCTGTGATAGTTGGTGACATTGAACACTTGTCCATACATTCACAGCCATGTATGTGTAACATTTTGAGACCTGTCTGTTCATTTCATTCCCCATTGACTCATTGGGTGTTTGATTTCTTGTTGAGATTGTTTAGTTCTTTGTGTACCTAGGTATCAATTCCCTGTCAGATGTGTAGCTTGCAGATATCCTTGCACCCTGCCTGCTCTCAGTCCTCTCAGTTGCTGTATAGAAAATTTCACGAAGACCCACTGGTCAATGGTCTTTATTTCTTGATAAACTAGAGTTCTGTTGAGAAATCCTGGTCTAGACCTTTATCTTCAGGTGTTTTCGCAGAATTTTCCTCTAATAGTTTCAGAGTTTTGGGTCTTGAGATCTTTGATCCATTTGGAGTGAATTTTTGTGTAGGGTAAGATATAGAGATCTAACCCTACATGTAAATATATACAGTTGTTCTACATGTAAATATACAGTTTTCTCAGCATAATTTGTTGAAGATATCTAGTCTCCTATAAATAGATATTTTGTTTTTGTTTTTTTCAAGACAGGATTTCTCTGTGTAGCTTTGGAGCCTGTCCTGGAACTTGCTCTGTAGTCTAGGGTTGGCCTCAAACCAACAGAGATCCACCTACTCCTGCCTCCCGAGTGCTGGGATTAAAGGCGTGCACTAATGCTGCCTGGCTCCACTGTATATTTTTGACATGGGTCATCTGTTCTGGTCCATGGATTTGTGTGTCCATTTTTGTGCCAACTCTCAAATAAATCACACATGGAACCTTATTCTTACTTAATAGTTTCAGAGTTTTGGGTCTTAAGTTAGGATCTTTGCTTTATTTGGAGTTAATATTTTTGTAATATAAGATATAGAGATCTAACCTCATTCTTCTATGTGTAAATATTAATTTTCCCCAGCATCCCAGCACATTTGTTGATGATATCTTTCCCCCAATGTACATATATTGTATATATACATATACATGTAGTTTTTGGGTTTTTTTTTTGAGACAGGGTTTCTTTGTGTAGCTTTGGAGCTTGTTCTGAAACTTGCTCTGTACTTGACTTGCCCTCAAACCCACAGAGATTCACCTGCTCCTGCCTCCTGAGTACAGGGTAAAGGCATCTGCCACCACTGCCCGGCTACAATATATATTTTTGCGTGGCTCTTCTGTTACGGTCCATGAATTTGCCTGTCCATTTTTGTGCCAGTGCAATGCTTCCTTTGTTACTATAGCTCTGTTGTATAACTTGAAACTGGTGGTGGCAACCATCCAACATTATTCTTTTTGCTGAGGTTTGCTTTGGCCATCCAAAGCCTTTTGTTTTTCCATATAAATTTTAAGATTATTTTCTGTCTCAGTCAAGAATGGTGTTGGTTCTTTCTTTCTTTTACTCTAGCCCCATGTTGGGTGCCAAAATGTTGTTGGTTGTTTTTTTGGCCCTTTATTCCTTGGGAGGGCAACCAGCCAACTCCCAAATAAATCACACATGGAGGCTTATTCTTACTTATAAATGCCCAGCCTAACTTGGCTAGTTTCTAGCCAGCTTTCCTTAAATTATCCTGTCTATCATTTGCCTCAGTGCTTGTACCTTTCTCTATTTCTGTATATCTTTCATTATTTCTTACTCCATGTCTGGCTGTGTAGCTGGGTGCCTGGCCACTGATGTCCTCCTTCTTCTCTGGCTACTTCTTTTTTCCTCCCAGATTTCTCCTTCTATATATTCTCTCTGCCTGACTGTCCTGCCTCTCCTTTCTCACACCTTGCTATTGACCATTCAGTTCTTGGTTAGACCATCAGGTGTTTTAGATAGGGAAAGTAACACAGCTTCACAGAGTTAAACCAATTCAACATAAACAAAAGTAACACACCTTAAAATAGCATTCTACAACAGAATGGTATTGGAATTTTGATTGGGATTGTATTAAATGTGTGGATTGATTTTGATAATGTGATGTTTGGTGTTGAGCATCAAGGACTTGGAATGTCTGGGGAAAGAGCCTCCAGGCACACCTGTGAGGAAACATTTAACCTCTGCACATGGGTATGAGGGACTATGTTGATTAGTTCATTGGGGTGAGCCACACTAAAAGTGGACAGCTCCATTCCCTAGGCTTTGGTCCTGGACTGTATGAAGAGGAGAAAGCTTGCTGAGCACAAGTGTTTGTTTATTATATTTTGACTGCTAGTGCAATGTGACCAGCTGCCTCGAGTTCCTGCCACTGGGACTCCTCGATCAGAACAGACTATAAACTTCAACTGGGAGCCAAATAAACCCTCCTTGATAAGTTGATTTGTCTGCATAGTTTACTAAAGAAATAGAAAAGGCAACTAGAAGTGGCAGCAGGGATATAATCATTCTATATATTCTATTAAAAGTATACAGGATGGATAAACCTTGATTTATTGAAGATGAGTGTGAGGACAGTGTACACAGCAGAGATGAGCTTCTTAGCATGACTTTTGTTACCATAGCAACAACAAAAAGGATAAATATTTAATAGACACCATTTTCCAAGAAGCATAGCCTGTTCTCTGCTTTCCCCACCATAACCCCAATGCTCACTTGAACCCTGGAAAACCCATCCCACCCACGTGTTCACTGCTCAGTCTCAGGGCTGCTCATCGCCTCCAGAACAGGCCAACACCTCCTGCACAGTCTCTCTACTTCCCAGAGGGTCCCTTTTCATCCATTACACAGCTGCAAGTAGGCCCAGGTAGGAATTTCCAAACTTGAGTGGCCAGCCTCCTGCATGCTGGGGACTCTGCCCCCAACATCTCCCTCATATGCAAACACTAAACTAAACCTATCAGCATCTCTGTGCTCTGCACCTTTCCAGCTGCTTCCTGCCTCTGAGCTTTGCTGCTGGGGTTATCTGGACTTCCTTTCCTCTTCTTTACTTTTCTTTTTTTTGGTTTTTTGAGACAGGGTTTCTCTGTAGTTTTGCGCCTTTCCTAGAACTCACTTTGTAGACCAGGCTGGCCTCGAACTCACAGAGATCCGCCTGCCTCTGCCTCCCAAGTGCTGGGATTAAAGGCGTGCGCCACCACCGCCCGGCTTCTCTTCTTTACTTTTCAATGCAAACCACACTGACTCCTGCTTTAAATTGTGGGAGCCACACCACCTATGTTCTTCCTCCCTCCCTCCTGTTGGTTTTCTTTCTGTCTTCATGTCCCAAGAACCTGCACATATTTAGGCTTCACATGCTACAAGTCATCACACCTAGTCTGTCTCCTGGTTGGTAAAGAGACAGCAGACATTATGTTTTTAAAGGAACCAAAAATAATAGGAAGATATGTAGTTGGAAAGTTTCTTCAGTACCACCTGAACCATAGTCCCACAGCCATTTATAAAATAATTGCTCAGAGATGTAGCTAGAGTTTTCCTGCCTGGCCCACAGTCAGGGCAAATCTCTCTCACCTGCCAGTTCCACAGCCTCTCAGACCCGACCAAGTAAACACAGAGACTTATATTGCTTACAAACTGTATGGCCGTGGCAGGCTTCTTGCTAACTGTTCTTACAGCTTAAATTAATCCATTTCCATTAATCTATACCTTGCTACATGGCTCGTGGCTTACCGGTATCTTCACATGCTGTTTCTCATCATGGAGGCTGGCAGTGTCTCTCTGACTCAGCCTTCCACTTCCCAGCTTTATTCTCCTCCTTGTCCTGCCTATACTTCCTGCCTAGCCAATGGCCAATCAGCATTTTATTTATTGACTAATCAGCAACACACTTGACATACAGACCATCCCACAGCACTTCCCCCCCCCTTTTTTTTTTCAAAAAGGAAAATTTTAACCTTAACAAAGTAAAATTACATATAATTTGGGAATTTGGGCGTAGCTTCTCTTACTACTTCCTGCTGGAGAGGGGCGCTGTATCTTATGGGGAAACAAAGAAAATTTTAGAATTATGGAATAGTCCATGAGGCTGTATCGTCTGAGCCAGTTGCCTTGAAACCATTCTGGATGTTGGATCATCTGGGCCATGGTGTCATCGGAGACCTTTCAGGGGGTCTTGGCTGGTCAAACCTGATGTATCTTAATCTGGAACAAATCCATAGCCTCTGGCTTTCTGTGGGAACAAAAGTAGAGTCTCCTTTCCAAAGCAACATATCCTTATATTCAAATTTTGAAGTCAAGGTACCTTTAAAATATACATTTTGGCATAACTCAACAGCTTTTATAATCAAATGTTTTTCTGCAGTTAAAAATCCCAAAGACAACACAGTCCAGATTCTCTGTGTAATATTCATCTTTATGTGGCTTATTTTATATATTAATTTTACTGTCTCTTTAAAGACTTTATTTTTAAAACTATGTATTTGTTTCTATAACTCTATATATCACCTTTTTGTCTCTTTCAAGCCTATGTATCTTTTACACACATTGTAAACTATTACATCTGAATCTGTCTTATTGTGAATCTCTTGCTTTAAACTGCAACAGCTGTGGCTGCTGGCTTCACCCACCTCAGCTTCCCAACATGGCTGTAGTACATTTTCCACCAGCTCTGGGAGCTATCGTGGGTCTATGCTTTTATCCAAGCAGCGTGTAGCCCAGAAACCTCTTTTTTGTTTTGTACTAGCAAAGTCTAAATCCACCATGCAGCTTAATGTGCCACTTGCAGAGGCCTCATTCCCGCCATACTGCAGGTCGAGCACGCCTGCTAGGAACCCACAAGTAGCTCAAACTGGCAGCTGCCGCTCATTTGAGAGAGACAGTTAAGAAGCTGTTTTTAGCTCCATTTTAGAATCTTTTTTTTCTCAGTTTTTAGGTGGAAACTCTTGCCCCACGTTGGGCGCCATTTGTAGCTAGAGTTTTCCTGCCTGGCCCACAGTCAGGGCAAATCTCTCTCACCTGCCAGATCCACAGCCTCTCAGACCCGACCAAGTAAACACAGAGACTTATATTGGTTGCAAACTGTATGGCCATGACAGGCTTCTTGCTAACTGTTCTTACAGCTTAAATTAATCCATTTCCATTAATCTATACCTTGCTACATGGCTCATGGCTTACCGGTATCTTCACATGCTGTTTCTCATCATGGAGGCTGGCAGTGTCTCTCTGACTCAGCCTTCCACTTCCCAGCTTTATTCTCCTCCTTGTCCTGCCTATACTTCCTGCCTAGCCAATGGCCAATCAGCGTTTTATTTATTGACTAATCAGCAACACACTTGACATACAGACCATCCCACAGCACAGAGACTTATATTAATTACCAATTGCACAGCCTATGACAAGCCTCTTGCTAGCTAGCTCTTATAACTTAAACTAATCCATTTCTATTAATCTGTTTTGTCACATGTTCTGTGGCTTATTGGTCTGTTGGCATGTTGTTCCTTGGGCAGCATGCTGGTGTCTCTCTGCCTCTCCCTTTTCTTCCTGTCTATCTGCTTGGATATCTGCCTGCCTCTAAGCTGTCTTGCCATAGGCCAATGCAGCTTTATTTATCAACCAATCAGAGCAATACATATTCACAGCATACAGAAAAACATCCCACAGCCCTTCCCCTTTTCTATCTAATAAAAAAGGAAGGTTTTAACTTTAACATAGTAAAATTACATATAACAAAACAATTATTAAGCAGGAATTACAGTTATAATATCTTGTCTATTTATATTTGGCAAATTTAAAGAAATATTCTATCTATCCTATATTTGTGAGTCTAAAGTTTCATATCTAATTTATCTTTTTATAACCAAGGAAAATTATAATCATAACTATTTAGTCTTCAACTACATCAAAGACCCCAGAAGGATATAATATTACCTAAGTAAACTGGAAATACATTGTAAGCAACTTCCAAAATTCTGAAAATGACAGAGACAGCTGCCTTCCTGGAGAGTCATCCAAAGTTCCTCTGTAATGTTGGGGCATCTATCCTCAGCCTATAGGCCTAGAGTTTTTCAGTCACTTCTCTCTGTGTTCTGTAGAATGTCTGGCAGTCTCCTCTGCAAAGAACCATCTCGTCTTGCAAAGTTCAGTGGTCACTTTCCTATGGGTCCTGTATGTCCAGTTTATACAACATATTGTCAATTATTTGATGCAAGGGCACTTTTTCCCCAGTGGCTAACTTTTGCCATAAAGAAAACAAACTCCATAATGAATTTCTTCAATGCCCATCATCCTCCTTGAAGTAATTGATGCTGCCAGGACCAGACATGTCTCATTGTCCAGGAAAGTCTAAGTTTTTAAAACTTTTTAAATGCCATATTCTGCAGGTCTTTGAAGTGCTTGAAGATTACCTACCTAATTGAAATATATCTGTGTATACCTAGAAAACTTAACTAACATGACTATAAGTGTGATTATCCTAGATAACTATTAATCTGCATTTCTTATTTAATTATTACAATTTTAAATGAACTGCACACACATAATTCCTTAAATAATAGTAGAAATATACATACAATATAACAAAATTAACTTTAAATTTATAATAAACTAAAAATCTATAGCACTGTAAAACATTTCAAACAAGTTGCTGCTCTTAAAAGTAGATTCAATAATCTATCCTTTCATCCTATCATATCTATAATATCAGCCTTTTTTTCTTTAGAAAGAGATTTATAATCAACCTGCTTTAAATAAAAACAAACATTTATAAACAATATTTTGGGAATTTGGGCATAGCTTCTCATACTACTTCCTGCAGGATGGGGGTACTGGTAATCTTATGGGGATCCTGAGAAAATTAAGAATTATGATCAAGTCCTGCCTGGAGTAGTCCGTGTGACTGCATTGTCTGAGCCAGTTTCCTTGAAGCTGATTTTGGATGTTGGATCATCTTGGCCATGGTGTCATTGGAGACCTTTTAGAGGGTCTTGGCTGATCAAACCATATTAGCCTGGATGCAATCCACAGGTTCTCATCTTCTGTGGAAACAAAAGAAGAACCTCTTTTCCATAGCAATGTATTCTTAGACACACATTTTTGAAGTCAAGATATCTTTAAAAATATATGTATTATTTTAATCCAGCAGCCTTTACAATCAAATATCTTTCTGTAGTTAACAATCCCAAAGACAATATAATACAGACTCTGTGTGATTTCCATCTTTATGTGGCTTATCTTTTATATTATTTTTACTGTTTCTTTAAAGACTTTATTTTTAAAAACTATTTATTTCTTTATGTAAATATATATACTTCTTTTCCTCTCTCTTCCAAGCCTACATACATTTTTTACATACACTGTTTAGAGTTTTATTCCATTTGAATCTGTTCTTACTGTGTTACTGTAACCATTTTCTGACCATTGCTTTAAACTGCAGCATGGCTAGGATGGAAGCAGCAGGCCTGGCTGCTGGCTCTGCCCATCTCAGCTTCCCAACATGGCGGAGGTAATTCGCCTCCAGTTCTGAGAGCCATGCTGTCTGCTGACTCTGGAATGCAGAGGGTCCATGCTCCATCCAGCAATGTGTAGACCAGAAACCTCCTTTTTTATTATTAGTAAAAGCTAAATCTACCATGCAGTGCACTGCATGGCTTGGAGAAACCTCTGTGTACCTTGGCGGGAATCTCCATGCTGTAACTCACACTGTGAACCTGCCACGGCCAGGGGACACATCATTGTACCTCAGCCTGCCATGAGCAACATGAACTAGGAAGGTGCTCTTAGCTATATTTATAATCTCTTCTTAAGCTCTCTCAGGTTTTAGGTGGAAACTTCTGCCCCACATTGGGCGGCATTTCTAGTCAGAAGGTTTCTCTGGTATCGCCTGGCCCACAGTCCCACAGCCATTTATAAAATAATTACTCAGAGGCTTATATTAATTACCAATTGCATAGCCTATGGCAGGCTTCTTGCTAGCTACCTCTTATAACTTAAATTAACCCATTTCTATTCATCTGTGTTTTGTCACGTGTTCTGAGGCTTACTGGTCTGTTGGCATTTTGTTCCTTGGGCAGCAGGCTGGTGTCTCTCTGCCTCTCCCTTTTCTTCCTGTCTATCTGCTTGGATTTGTGCTTTCCTCTAAGCTACCTTGCCATAGGCCAGTGCAGCTTTATTTATCAACCAATCAGAGCAACATATATTCACAGCATACAGAAAGACATCCCACAGCAAAGACATAGTCTCCACCTGATTGTCAACTGGGATTAATGCAAGTTGAAACGCAGTTGAAAGATTATTTTCTCAGCAACAGAAGGGATGTAGGGAGAGCTGTGTGAAGAGAAAAGGCTAAAATTTGTTTCCCGGAACTGTCACAGAGCATTCCCTGTGAATTAAAACAAGTCTGTGGTCTCTCACAGTTCCCAGACACACTGTGCTTTGGGGACTTTGGGGGCTAATTTCCCCATGTTTCAGTATTTCCACCCTTCCACATACTAAAACCTACTAAGACTGTAGACCTCACAGTCTAGGCCCAGCAGGGCTTACTGTCTTCTGAAATATAGACAATAATTTTTTAATTTAATAAAATTTTTTCTTTCCTTTTATGTACCAACCTCTGTTTCACCTCCCTCTCCTTCTCCTGCTTCCCCCACCTATCCCCATTCCACCCCATGCCCTCATCATAGAGGATAAGGCCTCCCTTGAGTAGTCAACACAGGCTGGCATTCCAAGTTGGGGCCAGACCTAGCCCCTCCTCCTTCGTCAAGGCTGAGTAAGGCATCACACCATAGGGAATGGGTTCTAAAAATCCAGTTTGTGTACATGGGATAAGTCCTGGTCACATCACCAGGAGACCCACAAACACATCAAGCCATGCAATTTTTGCTCACATTCAGAGGGCCTAGTTCGGTCCCAAACAAAAATCTTTACCAACCCCACATCTAATAGAGGGCTGATATCCAAAATACATGAAGAATTCAAGAAACTAGACAGCAGACTATCAAATAATCCAATTAAAAATGGCCTACAGATCTAAACAGAAAATTCTCAACAGAAGAATCTCAAATGGCTGAAAGACATTTAAGGAAATGTTCAACATCCTTAGCTATCAGGGAAATAGAAATCAAAACAAATCTGAGATACCATCTTAGGCCTGTCAGGATGGCTAAGATAAAAAACACAGATGACAACTTATGTTGGAGATGACATGGAGAAAGGGGTACACTCCTCCACTGCTGGTGGGAATGCAATCTTGTACAGTCACTCTAGAAATCAGCGTGGCGGTATCTCAGAAAATTGGGAATCAACCTACATCAAGACCCAGCAATACCACTCCTGTGCATAAACCCAAAAGATGCTCAACCACACCACAAGGACATTTGCTCAACTATGTTCACAGCAGCATTATTTGTAATAGCCAAGAACTTGGAAACAACATAAATGCCCTTCAACCAAAAAGTGGACATTGATTTTAATGGGATGGGAAATGCATTCAATTTTACCAAGATCTGCTCTGCACGTATAAACTACACAAAGAGTGCCCATTATGTCTACTCCACAAAGGTAGAAAGTGATGCTCTAAATAACATCAGCACTACAGCAATGCCAAGTGTTCCCACATCCTCAACTCATGTTCATGAGATGCTCTGGAATCAGAAGGGGCCCTCCCTCCTATGATGGAGCTTGACTCAAGCCCAAGGCCTTTCTTAAGGCATCTTTGAACTCTTTGTTCCTCAGACAGTAGATCAAGGGGTTCAAGATAGGTGTGAGGACCGTGTACAGAACAGAGATGAGCTTGTTCGAGCTCCGGGTATCAATGGCCTGAGGCCTCACATACATGAAAAGCAAGGCTGTATAGAAGATGGTGACCACAGTGAGGTGGGAGGCACAGGTGGAGAAGGCCCTCCACCGTCCTGTGGCTGAAGGGATCCGAAGCACAGCCAGGGTGATGTGTCCATAGGACAGAATGGTGGCCAGGAGAGGGAACACCAGAATGATGAAGGCCAGGATGAAGTCCACCAGCTCTGCAGTAGAGAAGTCGGTGCAGGCCAGCTTGAGGATGGGGGAGATGTCACAGAAGAAGTGGTTCAAGACATTGGAGCCACAGAAGGTGGCACTGGAGATAAAGTAGACCTTGATCACAGAGATGGTGAAGCCACTAGCAAAAGAGAAGATCACGAGCTGGACACAGAGCCCCGTGGTCATGATGACTTGGTAGCGCAGGGGATGGCAGATGGCCACATAGCGGTCATAGGCCATGGAAGCCAGGAGTACACACTCTGTGCACACCAGGGAGCTGAAGAAATAGAGCTGAGTCATGCAACCAATGAAAGAAATGTGTTTCCTCTGCAGGAGGAAGCCGTCCAGCATCTTGGGGATGATGTCACAAACATACCAGATCTCCAAGGTGGACATGATGCCCAAGAAGTAGTACATGGGCCTGTGGAGAGAGGTGCTGCTCCAGACAGTGAGGATGATGGCCAGGTTCTCTACCAGCACAAAGAGGTAGATGATCAGGAAGAGGAGGAAGAGCAGGAACTGCAGCCTGGGGGCTGTGGGGAAGCCCAGCAGGATGAACGTGCTGACCTTGGTGATGTTCTCCCCTCTCATCCTTCTGCACCTGAAAGAATCAAGAAGGTACTGGCAGAGGCAGAATGGCAGTGTGCAGGGAGAATAGGCTGACAGATCAGCAGACAGAGGCGCACTTAACTGCTGCAATTGCTGGGGCAGGAGAAAAATGCTACAAGTGTAGTTAGTACTTAATGCCAGGTGGTTTGGCTTTGATCCTGGGCTCAGAAATATACTTTTCATACTCCCCTAGTGAGTCCATAGTGACGACAAGACTGTAATTTGTACTCTGGAACCCTCCAGCAAGTCTATGATCATGGGAGAACAGTGGGTTCCTTGTGCCTGTTCTCTAGGCAAATGGTTCGTGATTTTTAGGGCCATTGGGGGCTACTGTTCTGCATCTAAGCCTTCTGTCCTCATTAGCATAGGTTGGGTCTTTGCTTGGCTTCAGAAAAGATTGTTAAAATAGACTTGACATCATCAGGACTCCTGGAATGGTGGGTTCAGGTTATGGAGAGTCTAAGATAGGCCCTTCCTCAGGACTGGCTTTCAGGCACGGGACAGTAGCTCCATCCCTGTCTTTATAGACCACATGAGCCATCCACAATGGAGGAGTCTCAGCGCCAGTCTCAGTCAGAGAAAGCCAGCACTCCTGGGTCTGAAGGCAGCCGAGTGGAGGAAGTCTCGAACAGTATGGCCGTGCCCACAGTGAGGGGAGGAGTCGCTCAGGGCGGAAGCTGCGGTCATACCAGTCTAGTGGTTGTCCTTAGCCAAGGTTACCGGAAGCAGACTCAACAAGATGAACATCTTTACTCTTACCATGTCCAAGTGTGTAACAGGAATCCTTTCCTATCACATTTGGGAATGTGGCACGTGTCCACTTGCAGTCTGTGCACTTACCCGAGACCACAGCTGCATCAGGGCACAAAACAAGGTCTTCTAACACCAGGCCACTGCTCTCTTCATGAGATACCAACAACCGAAAGTAGGCCCATGTGGTGCTGGATAGCAATGTTAGCAACAATCTGGAATGTTAAGATGGGTATGATTCTGGTGAAGGATCAAGCTCTCTGCTTAATTCTCCATGTTGTGAGAAGGGGAAGAAGAGCCAGCGCGCCACGGGGAACCTTTCTTGCTTTAACTTGTTTCTGTCCGGTGTTCTAGCACAGTGGCAACAAAAGTAACCAACGCAGTGGACACTCAAGGAAAAAGTCATAGCAAAGTCTGCCTGTCACTCCCCAAGAGGCGCAGTGAAGGTTCCAAATGACAAACAACAACAACACACACACACACACACATACACACACACACTCACACACACATACACACACATACACACACATACACACACACACACACACTCACACACACATACACACACACACATACACACACACATACACACACACACTCACACACACATACACACACATACACACACACACTCACACACACATACACACACATACATACACACACACACACACACACATATACACACATACACACACACACACACTCACACACATACACACACACATACACACACACACACTCACACACACACATACATACACACACACACACTCACACACACATACACACACACACACACACACACACTCACACACACGCAACTTCGAGGCAGAAGAATCCTAAGGCATCCAGGCAGAATAAAGCGTTGTATAAAATGGAAGACCAGCTGGGCTAGATTTAGTCTTCAGTTCCAAACATTGAGAGTCAAGAATGCAACAGGGCATTGTCCACGGAGGGGTGAGAATACGTAACCGGTTGTACCCAGACCTGGAGCCGCCTGTGAGACTTCTGACCACCTATTCTGAACAGGGACTCACACACCCTCCCTCAGTGTGAAACTCAAGTGCCACAGCCATTAACCAGAGACAAGACCACAATCCTGGACCAAGAGCATCACCACAGGAGAGGGATGTGTGGCGGGAATAAACCTTTTAAATACCCCTCGGTTTGGCCTTGTGTCACAGGAGGACGTCAGAAGGCTGTTTTATCCTTCGAGTTTGTAGCTAGCACGGTCTCAGATCTTTTCAAGGTAACCCGGGGTTTAACAGGACGTGGATCCTTAAGAGTTGAAAGGACAACAAAAGAGTGCAGAAATAAAGGAAATGAGAAAACGTGCGGGGTGACGCGGAACAAGGACTGCATTAAGAAAACTACCAGCTGTGAGGAAAGCTGAAGATAGGATAGGGTCGCCCAGCAAAGGGGGTTTCGGACCCCAGTGGATAGCCACTACACACACCTACACACACGGACTTGAAGACTCAGCTGGAAACTACCCAGGCAGGGATGAAAATAAAGAGAAAGCGTGAATCTCCTCATGTAAAATCCACGCCCCAAACAGTTTTGCTTATAGAACTTTTCATCAAAAATAATTACTTCAATTTAATATCAAAAGCTCCTCCCCGTCTGCCCCCCCCCAAAAAAAAAACGGTATTAGGAGAAGGAGGCAAAGGAGGAGCAGTTGCAGCAAACTTCAGCACATCTTATACTGAGCACCCAGCAGTTGTGCTACCCCAGTTCTCTTACAGCTCCCCTCACAAGGGAGAGGAGGCATCCTGTGGCCCACAGTGTCAAAAGCAGTCCCGTAAGGGTGAACACCAGAGGTTCAAGTGAGGGGCTGTTTTCTGAGAACACTGACACAGTGACAACAGAGAGCTGATGTCACCACAAGGCCAACAGGACTGTTGACGAGGCTTCAGAGAAGAGGGACTGACCTAGGAGCTTCACCTGTGGGGACCTCAGACCTCTGCCCCGTGTGGAACAGTTCTGAGCGTGGAGGAGTCTTCCACGCTAGTCTCAGTGGTAGCCGTCCCTAACGGGAACACTCCACATGTTGTAGAGGGAAGGCCCACATGGCGGTCTCATGTTTTACTACACTCTCGGAACTTCAGGAGATCCCAGGAAGTAGCTGTGCGGTTGGTCAGAACAAAAGCTACACCAGAGCACAGTTCACCTCCAAGGTCAGGGCTAGATAGCGAGCTGTCAAAATTCTCACAATGAAACACATCCACAGACCCCAGGAAGTCGGTTCTCATGATCAAAGCAACCCATGGCCTTCAGAGTCACCTCCACCCCACCCCGGTGAGGTACGGCGGGCTCTTCACTGTGGCCGCTGTATACCTGTGTGTATACCAAGCTCCCTCTGCTACCTGCTACAAAAGGATTAAAGATGTGGACAAATTGTCCTGATTTTCAGAGGACATGGTCTTTTCATATTGAAAATCCATTCACACTGTCACAACAGGAATTTCTAAATAGGTACTAAAAAATTGTCTTCTTGAGGCTGAGGCAGGAGGATCACCATGAGCCTGAGACAAGCCTAGACTTCACAGTGAGATCCTGCCTCAATTTTTTTTAAAGTCTTCTCGTATATCCCTGCTAACTAGAACCTTCCTGGATGAAATTGAAGACTGTTCTGAAGAGCATAAAGATGGCTCTGCCTTCTTGGGGCTTTGGGTACTGGGAAGAGCACTTGTGGAAGATGATCTAGAAATCAGGGACATGCTGGGTTTTGGTGCCCATGATCATCATGAGAAGTGCAAGGAGTAAACAGTGATAGGCAGCACTCACCAGGAGGCAAGGGTCAGATGGCGTAACTGGGGTGGGAACCTTCACCGCTTAATCGCCCATTCAGCTTCACTGAGTGCCCACTACAAGGAAGTCATTCCAATCAATTGAATGAATCAGGAGAAAACACCAGCCCCAACCCACCACCTACGGGGACTGTGAATTTTAGTAAAGCAGGAAGCAGTCAAGATGTATGGCTCCTAGCCTGGGAGGAGGTGGTGAGCTGGAGGGAGCCTGGGAGGAGGTGGTGAGCTGGAGGGAGCCTGGGAGGAGGTGGTGAGCTGGAGGGAGCCTGGGAGGAGGTGATGAGCTGGGGGAGCAGGTCGGTGGGACTGGGCAGCAGGGTGGTAACAGCAGCAAGAAGTGACACTTGAGAAACTTCTCCAAGAGGTGAAGATCTGCCCTGTGGCTCCCTGGGAAGAAGAAGGCAGAGATTACATACTACATGGCTGAGGGATGTGAAGGGAGCCAGGATCAGTCCAGTTGGAGGGACAGTGTGGACTACAGGGGAAGAGAATTTGAAGGACCCATGAGGCTGATGGATTGGCCATCACTCTGATGAGCGGTGGCAGGGCTGATCCATATTCTAAATGATTAGTACAGTGAGACCCGGTGGACGACGGAAGTGAGGAAGGGTGCCAGGATAAAGCTGCTGGTCTCTCTGGGAGGAGGTGGGGGCCTCGGCTAGGGACAGTGCCTGACACGTTTTCTTGATACAGACCCCAAGAGTCGAGGATGACACTGGTCAATAAATCATTGGCACCAGATGTGAATTTGATGGGCTGAGAAAGACCAGAAACGTGACAGGACAGCACCCTGGGGTAGGTTGAGGAAGGGGATACGCAGAGATGTGAGGTCCCAATAAGGCCAAGCAGGGTCTCCCTGCTGGGAGTTCAGGGGCTCAGGACTGGGACTGGGCTGTCTGATTAGCGACCAGACCACCCCGAGCAAACGGGGTGGGAAAGGAAATGCATTTGCATGCAGAGCAGAGTCCTCTCAGGAGAGGACAACAGGAAATCTGGAGGCTCACCTATCCTCCACTCCTCAGTCCCACACACCCTTTGCTTCTCTGTCACCTTGAGCAAGAACTAGCTTGTCAGCTCTGTAAGGCCCAAAAGAGCAAGGCAGAGGGCACCGGACGTGAGTCCCTGCTCCTCCAATGTCTGGCACGACTTTTGACAAGTGTGGAGGGGAAGTTTGGTTCCCATGAAAAGCCAGGGACATGTCCCCACTCTGCAGTCTGAGTGGCAGTGAACAGGAGCAGGCAGATGAGAGCGTGGGCATGGCAGGGCCTGGGAAGTAAGGGGCCCTGGAAACACGAATATCCTCTGCCATGTCTGCCCCAGAGCCCCCAGCCCTACCTAGAGTCCAGTCCAACTGGCATCGAGTTTGGGCTTTGCCTTGGATTAGAACCTGGGATGGGAGGTGGGACTGTACTGGAT